TCAAAGTTCTGTTTAGCACTAACATTAGATGATGCTCTGTTACTTTGTTTGATGAAGTTGTTAAGTAATACAAATGATTTTTAAAAAAGAGTATAATTAATGTCTCTTACCTAAGAATTTTTTTAAAGTAACAGATGTAGTATACAGTCCTTTAAAAAAAATTTCTATAATGTATCCAGTCGTAAATTAGACTTATCTTTAATATTTTTCTTTGAGTATGTGGTTATAAGTTTACCAAGTACAATGCAGAAATTGAGAGGGATAATAAATGATACGTAATTCAGAAAAAAGTAAGACACATCAGAAGACATCAACATGGCACAAAAGAAAAATGAAGCAAAAAACACATTCATAAACTCACAGGCATTTAAGATACCTGCATTCATTTCATAGAAACCCTAAAGACATTTCTCTGAAAGCGAACAGGTCCGTTTCACATACAATAGGCAAAACAGAACAGAGGCTTGCTTCTGAAACACATGGAGACTGTGAGCTTTTCTCCCACCTGTGCATCAGAGTGGGAGCCTGGCTGAGCTCAGGGAAGGAATCTTTACTGTGTGTTTCCTGGGAAGGGAAAACATTTGGGTACATGATGTGGCAGCTTGACTGCTCTGCCCCAGCTGTTTCGACGGAGCTGTTCTGAAGCCATTTGACCTGGCAGCCCTGATACAGCTGGGACGTTCTAAGGCAGCATGAAAAAAACAACAAACTCCCGGCCCAATTTATAATGACCAATTAATCAGTGAAACAAACCCCCTCACTCCATCCCTGACCTGCACTGCAGACTCCCACCTCTGGGAGTTCAAGAATGGGTGAGGGATGGGGCAAGGCTTAGCGACAGGGGTGAAATATCGCGTGGGAGTTAGGCATATTGACTGTGTACATTACTTGCTAATTAAAAAAAAAAAACAGTAATTTTTGCTTTTTGACAAATCTCTGTAAAAACGGCCTCTGTGCCAAACTGGTTCTGTTCTGTGCCCCATAACAAAATCTTCATCTTCAAGTAAACATATGGCCCTCTGCAAGAAAGGGGGAGCTCTATTTTTTCTTGCCATGTGTAGGGTACAGAGACTTAGCTGGCCCTGACAGTCACTGGGTCACAAGAGTTTTCGCTCCCTCTTGTGATATGTTCTTTTTGAAACAAAGGAGGGGGTATAGCCATGGACGGAAGGGTGGTATATCTGATTAGCAGACGTGAAGACTTGCTCTGCTATAAGGGGGGCATATCGAAGTGAGAGGAGATGTTCTTTTCTGATTGTGTTATGTTCTCAGTCCCTGGATTGTTGAGAAAACTGAGCAGACTGCTTCCATGGAAAAAAGGTTTTCTTCAAATTACAACCTTTTAAACCTCAATTTGCAATAACAAATATTACTAAAGTCAGAGAATAATATACAAATATGTCAGTACCAATTCAAAGAGAGAGAGAGGAAGACAAGCATCCATTCTGATATTGAGTGTTAATAAAAAGAACAATATTTAGGTTCACATATATAGGATCATATTGTGTACTGATTTTCCTCCCATTTTTCTCCTATTAATTATATTATGGAAATTTTGCACCTTGAAGTTAGTCACAAAAATGAGTATATGATTATATCAATTTCACATCAAATGGAAGTTAAAATACAATTCCATTAAAAAATCTTTATATTTCCAACGTTTTATTAAAGTCTTCGATTTTTATCTTTATGTTGGAAATGTTCACATGTTAGTCTTTAACAGTCGAGTTTTAGGTTGGTAGATATTAGAGAACAGGGCTAGTAACCTTGTGTCCTACAGATCAATATACATTTCTCTTGAAGACAACTTCTACCCCCATCTTCTTTGCTAATTCCCTAGTTTAAGCTCTTAGTGTCTGTTGCAGGACCATTTCTAGGCTACGCTATGGTCACCCTGCTCCCAGCCACTCTCCATGCCAGCCAGTCCATCCAACACAGATGATCATGACCAAGACCTTTCCACAACACAGAGCCAATCACTTCACTCTCTTTTGTAAAATAAATACAAACCAAGAACCAAAGGGGTGCACTGGAGGAGGGGAGAATGCAATAAGAGAAAAACGAAACTAAGGAGACATTCACACATTTGTAGGCATTTGAGAAATTATACGCATTTGTTCAAAATCAGAAAGACACACTTTGAAAATGTAAAATGCATTCTAAAAAAAATAAAGCAATCTTCTTAAATGCATAATGATCTTGCACTCATTCCCCTGGTCTTAGAGGCTCAGCCTGGGAACTAAGGGCAGGACCATCCCTGAGCTCCATGTGAGGGAAGCTTCCTGGCCTGAGCGCGTAGGCCTGAGCCTCTGAGTGGGGCACGTCAGCCACTTCCCGGTTTGTCCCCCTCCTTCTTCTCTGTTGCCTAACCATTTTAACCTCACCAGTGTTAAACCACCTGCAGCTTCCCAAAGCCCCCTGCTATTTTAGACTGCTATGACTTTCTACCAGCGTTTCTCTCTGTCAAGAGTTTCCTTACTTTCTATCTTTGCCTGACAAACTGATTCTTCAAAACCCAGCTCAAGCATTACCTCCCTTCTAAGGACCATTTCCTTGTTTCCTCAGACTCCTTCCTCCACGTTATAATTAACCTTCTAGGCAGGCTTTAATAGACTTAAACTAATGTAGTGTGCTTATTTGTTTTCATGGCTAATGTCCCGTCCTAGACTTGATAAATCCTTGAGGACAGAATCCATGTCTTTCTTTAACTTGGTATTTTCTTACAGTTTCCAGCACAAAATGGGTGCTCACTATATGTGCAACTGAATAGAAATTTATGAGGGAATGATTAATGCCCATGTCTTCCTTCCAGCTGTGACCATCCTGTGACAAGAGTTTTTTCTGGTTGATTACCCTTTGTCCTTTCATTTCTGAGTTCAACATCTGGTGCCAAGCAAAGATCCAGGGAAAGTGGCCTGCATCTTGACATCAGGCTTTAAAAGGCTTTCCTTTCTCTCAGGAAAGAGCAGATGAGGAAGCATTGCCACTGAGGACTAAAAACAAAATCCTTTCACAAATGTAACTGAGCTTGTTTACATGTCCTGGAGAATAAATGTTTGAAAATATGCAATGGCAGTGAAAGAAGGTATCAAATTCCACAGGCAAACAGCCAGAGAAACAATATTCCAAAAGTGGCCCATTAATCTCTTCTTTAACCCACCAACTGCACAGCTTGAGAATATATTTTAAAAATCTGATCTTGTTTTAAACCACTAAAATATTTTCCAGCGTCTAAATAGCAGCCAGTTCTCCTCATGTTATTCATGCTTGCAGCCTGGGAGTGTGACCAGTTTTTTCCACTACTTAACTGAGTGTAGTATCATTTCCATTTTGCTACTGCCTGATAGTACTGAGAAACGTAAGCTATAAAACTGTGCTCGTCAAGAAAGTTAATGGAGAGAGGTGGCCATATCCTTTTACAATGCTTAAAAGCTTAAGCTGTAATACTAAAAACCTGGTTTTTATTCCCTGAAATAATGAAAAGAAGAAATTGAAGGAAATTAAAGTAAAATCCAACAGGATTACAAAATTAGAGCAGAGTTAAGGAAAAATATTTTGAGGACCAGGAGAAATCTAAAATAAATAAAAAATACATTTGTGATACTGCTCTATGACCCAGACAATTGCCACTCAGCCACATAATTGGAGACTCCTTTAAGAATCTAGCAATGCGCTCACTGGGGGAAGGCAGGGAAACCATCTCCCCTGGATACCCATCTGGATCCCACCAGTTAGCTGGCAAGATAAAGAGGAAAATGGATTCCAGTGGTTTAGACAGAAAGCACTGGGGCAAAACTGTGTCAGCTATCAGAATGGTGAGAGTAAGGGAATGGTTCTTGGTGAGACTGGCCTATGCTTGGACAGGAAGGGGACAATATCATATTCTACTGACAGCTGTAGGACACACTGAACCTGTGTGGTTCAAGCTGATTAAACAGTAACATCTCCACACCCAGTAAACTGCTGTATGTCTAGCATTGAAAACGGTGGAGAGTTACTACACATGTTTGAGAATTTCAGATTTGAAAGAAGCAAGGCAAATCTCTATCTTGGTGTATGACCCAGAATTCCCAGGAGAGGTTTTACAAAATTCAACAAGGCTGGTCAGTTGCTCAAATGGACAGTGGTCCAGTATGTCTGGTTCAGGGAAACTTGCCTTGTTAGTGTGATTGTAGAAGTCAGGATTCGAGCAAATAAGTAAGAACCGTCATGTTTTTTAGAATCTACATTTGACCCAGATAATCTTATGTTACAAATCTTCAAACTGCACAGGGAGAGAATTAATACTTTCCACTTCTCCCCAGCACCTCTGCTTGAGCTCTGTTATCGTGTGTCTCCTAAAGGTCATATTTAAAAAATAACTTTCTACTTCTGTTGAGTAGTCATTTTTATTTTGTCTCTCAGCTCAAGAATTAAACTCTTCTTTTCCCACTGAATCCATGTATTGCAGATTTTATGAACATTTTACAGGTCTCTGGTTCCCTAGAGATTCATATAAACTCTCCCCAAGCAAATGTGCTTGTGTGCACACACACACACATGCACACACACACTCATGCACTCTCAATGCTGTGTATATCATTTCATGGGGTTCAGGGATCACATAATTTTATCTGTGGATACCAGGTTAGGAATTCCTGCCTATTGATTCGGTGTTGTTCTGGGCTTAGATAAAATCATTAAGAAGGGCCAGTCTGCCTCTGGTTCAACCTAATTTTTGCAGCGAACACTTATGGAGTATCTGCCAAGTGCCAGGTTTCATGTCAGAGGACAAGGATATACTTTTGATGGGCTTATTTCTTTCTCTCTCTTTAGAATGTCTAGAACTGCTCTGTATTTCTTTTCATCTCCACTCAAATGATCGGTCCTGGTAAATCATTAAACATTACACATAAATTACAATAATATTTTAACCAAAGCACAAGGGTTTGAATTTGCTTCTGAGCAAATTTCTTACCATATGTTTTAAAAGACATTGAAGACCATAACTGCAAAGTTACCTGGCAAAAACAATTCTCTTTGGAGATTTTCTCTGGCTTGCCGGGAAAAGCATCTTTTCTTCAGCCAATCAGCTTCAAATTCACTGTAATGCTCATTTGGCCACGTGATATGCACCTTATAATACAGAAAGTGAATATCATCCGTATGCATATTATACTTTCACACTTCAGTTCTCCACCGTTGCTGCTTCTGAATGTGGTTTAAAATAATCAGGGAATCCAATTAGCCCCTGCGTTTGTTTCCCCCCTTATGTACACACAGGTATAGAATAACTTTTTGGACAAGAAGGAAACTGAAAGCCAAGAGGATCCATCTGAGGTCTGAGGCCCCTTATATTTCACACAAGAAAGAAAATCTGACTAGATCTGAAATTCCTATTCTATGTCCTTAAAACCTGATGTCCCCATACTTTCTGTGATGACTTGAAGTTAGCCATCAATTAAGACTCCTGACAGGAGTATCAGAAATAGTAATGATGATGATAAGGTGGATAATAATAATAAAAATAACACCATTTTGAGTGTATACTGCATAACAAGCCCTAAAAACATGACTGATTTAGTCCTCACACAGCTCTGGGGAGAAGGCACACCTAATGCTCACACTTTGCAGGTGAGGAATGGAGGAGTGAATACCTCTTCCCGGGGCACACAGCCTGCAAGCAGTCCCTGGGTGTAAAGTCCTCCAGTTGAGACAAAGACAAGAGTGGGGAGAGGATGGCCTTGCTCTTCTGATAACTACCCTAGCAAATTCAGAAGAAAGTAACACAGGGCAGAGGGCACATCTGGTTGTGGTTTTGAGAGTCACACTTTTTGAGGGCTCGCCGTCAGCCAGGCACCATGTTAAACCACGTTGTACCCACAGGATCTCGCTGACTCCTCACATCATCCCTTTGAACAAGTTCTGTTAGTAGTTCTACTTGACAGATGAGTGAACGGAGGCCCAGAGCATTCCTTTTATTATAGAAATAGTTTGATGGTGTCTCCAGGGCTGCCACTCAGTGAAGGAATATTGAACAACACTGTATATTTTATTAAAAGTAGTGGTAATAATAATAAAAATAGTAATAATAATAATAGCAGAAGTGTCCATCTACTGAGCATGCTTACTTTGCACCAAGTACTATATACACATGGTTATGTATACAATCAAATGAAAAATCATCATTATTTAAGTTATTGGACACCAGCCCCTATATTTGACTTTGGAGAGGAGGGAGAGATTCTTTAGAGAGCCTTACCTTTTTTCTGTCAAACTTCAAGGCTTTGATACCAATATTCACATCCAGAGCTTCCACGAGAAGCTTGCGCGCTTTCGCAGAGTCCAGGTAGCAGTGGGGGCACTGGCAGTTGTCTCTCAGCCACACGGCGGGGTAGAGAGACTCCCCGCCATCGTCCCAGAGGACTTGCATCAGGTGAGCCCCGTCCAGCACCTCTGCCTTCTGGATGGCACAGTGCATGTTTCTGGTCCTCGCAGGTAAATCTTGTCCGCTACCTGCCACGACAAGCCAGTGTTAAGAGAGTCTCAGGCAGACGGGCCTGACCTTGACCTCTCAGAGTGGGAACCATTCACGTGGACTCTGGCCTCTGCTATTTGCTGAGCGGCCACTTTGCGTCTGATTTATCAGCGCGGGGACCTTTGCTCTGGGGAGAGTGTTTCCAAGGCTGTAAACAGCAACACGGCGACTGAGAGTCAATAAGAAATGTGCTGCATCAGGCTCCAGACCCATGGAATTCCTCGTCTTTCTCAAAGAAAGTTTAGATAATAAGTTCAGACCGATGACAGAAGCACTTCCATAATCATGCTTGGGTGAAAGCTCTGGAATTTCTTAAGGGAGAAAAATGCTCCACAATTGGAAATCTGACAATCGCACCTGTGCTGTTTTAGCTGGGGCCGGATTGCGCATGCGTGTTGAGAAGACAGGGCTCCCCTCCCACAGTGGCCCTGTCCCGACGCGGGGATGCTAACGCGGTTTGCTCGGTTCAGAGGTCCTGCGGTCCCGGGCACTGCGCTCTGCTAGTCCGCCCTGCGCCGCTTCACTGCGCAGCACACCTGCTCCGCGCGGCATAACCGTACCTGGGCTCCGAAGGGAACCCGGCCGGCTCCTCCTCCCAGCTTTTCCGTTTTAATAGAGTGCCTTGATATTTCAGTTAGCTTACTCTAAGCCTTTCCTGAGTGCTTTTATGAACTTCACTTTACTTGCGAATAGGTGACTTTTTATTAAGAAATCCACGAAATGTGAGGACATGCTATATTTATAGGACAGGAGATCAAGTGTAAGAGAGGCCCCAAAGTGTTGGGACCAGGCGCCTCGGTGTGGATTCCGATTCCACTAACGGCTGTCAGTTTGACCTTCAGAAATCGTGTCAAGGTTGTAAATCTTACTTTCTTCCTGTATTATTTTCCAGGGCTCTGAACTTATATGGAAGAAGCAGAACTTCTTAACTTCTTCCATAAGATGATCAGCTCATCATTAATAGAAGGTGACATGTGACAACGGAAACAAGACCTCATTGTGTTGGGGTGAAGGGGAGGCAGGCATGCATGCACATGCACACACGCACACCCACCCACCCCCCCCCCCCACACACACACAAGCACAGTGTCTGCTGACAAATTCCTTCTTGGTACCCGGCCCCGCGATCAATGTGCAGGGTTCAGTGACAAGCAAGACGAAACAGCTCCCCGTCTTTCTTAAACTTACAGATGGGAAGACTTTATACTTCGCCACAGTAACTTGAAAAAATACTTTACACAACATTAAACAGCTTTTCGGTGATTGTTTTGCATAAACTTGCTCAAATCATTAGCTTGGATGATTGGAGTCAGGGTGTGAAGCCGAGTTAAGACAAAAAAGACGGCTTTCTCCTTTTAGCTCAACCACACTAGAGGTATCTACTGACGAAAGGAGAAATACAATTCCCTGGGCCTCATGCTTATTTCTATTTGGGAACTCCTATCCTTTTTAAAAATAATTTATATAGCAATGGGGGAGAGCTATTACCTAAAAAATATCACCCAAAATGTCATTTTGTTCAAAGCTGGGGTTCAGCTCCAGGATGCAAGTAGGCACCCTCGGGCAGGGCGCAGGTCAGGCTGTCTGCAAGGGGGACGCTCAGCCCTCCTGACAGGAGAGGGGCAGCTGCCCGGGTTTCTCCGATCGTGGTTTCAAAGGACAGTGATGGGTGTGGTACATGGGGGATGATATAACCAGGTCCCTAAATAGCATATGATGCACAAGGCTCAAGAGGAGAAAGGCAGCACATTTTTATCTCGGTCAGAGGTTGGCAAGCGTTTTCTGTAAAAGGGCAGGTTGTACCTATTTTAGGCTATGCAAGCTACACACAGGCCCTGTCACATACTCTTGTTTTATTTTTTTTAACCTTGTAAGAATGTAAAAACTATCCTCACCTTCTGGCTCCACGAAAGCAGGCTATGAGCCATGCCTAGTCCCTCGGCAGTAGCTTGCCTGTCCTGGATCAAGTTGTCTAAGGCATGCTGTGTGACAGTGGAACACAATCATACCTAAATACAGAAGAGTGGTCTCCTATTCCTCCACATGTGTGAGCTTATCGCTGAAACACATGCTAAGGAGCTTCTGTGCCTGCTGCCCTGGAGAGCACAGAGATCACGATGAAGTTCCAGACCTCAGCAAAAGCGAGGTAATTATGAAAGTGAAGCAAGAATAAGGCTGGGCACAAACTGCCTTGGTAGCTGCCCGAGAGACTCCAGGGACCGCCTTAGAGAAGATGGCTATTTGAAGAAGTCTTAAAGGATGTGATCAATGCTGCTGAATGCATATCTATCCATCTTATTTTCCTTCCTCGCTAATACAACATTGACTTCTTCAGAGCAATCACGTGACTAGTAAACAGCTATATCTCCCAGCTTTACTTGTAGCTGAGATTAGGATGTGATATAATTCTGGCGAGTGAAATGTATTTGGAAGTTGCTGGATGGGGAAATTTTTGAAAAGGAGATAGTCTTAGCTGCCACATGATATTTTGCCTTTTCTTTTCTGCCTGCTTGGTAAAGTAGAGGTGGTCCTGGTGATGGAGCAGTCATTTTGCAACCATGAGGCAACAAGCAGAAGGATAAACTCTAAAAGAAGCCAGGCCTCCCCGTGGTTCCATGAAATCACACTGCCAGTACTGGACAGTCATGTCGGGACTTTTTTACATGAGAAGAGTAAGCCCCTTATCTAAACCTCTATTTGCCAGCTCAACTGGATACAGACAGGTTGGATCACAAGAAGAAGAGGTTGTGAAAGGTCGTTCCAAGGAGAGGGGGCAAAATGAGCCAAGGAACTAAGCTTTGAATGCATGGAGTTTGAATGATAGAAAATATTTGGTTTGGCTGGAGCAAAGGCTATGAGGGAGAAGACAGAGAGAAATTAAAAGGCATGTTGAGACCAGATCGGGAGCACCCTGCATAGCACGATAAGGAGTTAGGCTTTGCTCTGTTATAAATGGGATACTTTTAATTTTTATTTTATGAAGGAGATTAAAAAGAAAGATGATACTGACAGTGTGTATGGGGTATGGGAAGCAGGTAAAAGGACCACAGTTAGAGACACTGTTTGGAGTTTTTTGTAGCAATCTAGTTGAGAAGAACAGTGGAGTGGAAGTGTAGAAGGAAAGGTGGGAGGATGGGGTGAGTGAGCCACGCTGCAAAGATGGATCTGAAATTTCCCTCAGTTTGTGTCCTCATGAGAAATTTCTGTTACCTTTGGCTCTTTTGTTAAAGCCAGTTTTGTGAAAGAGAATGCCTTTGCTTCCTGTTTTTACAGAAAACCAATTATTTTATGAGATTGCTTAAAAAGAGCAATTACTATAATCTATTAAAGATGGTCAGGAAGTGCCATTCGGAATGCAGTTGCTCATGTGGAGCCCCCTGTGGGAATGTGGACGTGTTCCCCAGGCATGCAGTTCAACCAAGTTTTCTTCTTAGTACGAGACTATGCTTTTTCAGTGGGTGGCAGGCAGGCATAGGAATCAGGAAGATTCTGGTGTTATAGCAAATAAGTATCAGTGTGGATGATGGACAGCCCACAGGCAAAACAGAAGCGGAAAAAATTATATACACTGTATCCCATTTTGTTTATCTTGTTATTCTTGCTGGTCCTTGACTTGATCTATTTATAAACTGATGCATTATTCACTTGCCAAAACTACTTGCCAAGAATCACAGGCAAAAGATGCCTCAAAATATCAACACACACTAAATAGACATATGAAGCTCGAAAGCTTGTCTTTGTTATGCTGAGAACACATCTACCTTTTAAAATACATTTCACATATTGGTCCTGGCCTGATTTTTCAAATCAATATGGGATGATTTATCCCACAGTACTAGTCCTTATTGTAGACATAATCCTGTCTCCCCTTCGTTCTCTCTCTGCCCTAAGTCTACTCAGTGTTTTTGACTGCTCTTCCTAAGATGTGAGCTCTGGATACCGCACATTTCAGAACATATGGTTACCTTCCAGTTTACAAGTAACTTTCAAAATGTGGGCTCTGAATTATACAAGATACCATAGATATAATATTTCTGGGATTAAAAAAACAGAAAAATGATCACCTTATATGAGGGAAGAGTAAAGAATATCTATAAGGTTTTTGATTTTCAATTTTCTTTTTTTACCTTGAGAGTTTGGAAGAATAGTCGTACCTACTTATGGGATCTTATGAAATAGCAACTGGTCTGGTTCTAAAATCAGAACATTGGTCTTAATTACATTGATGGTAAGGTTACAGTAATAGAAATAATAGTAGAAGAGGTAGTGATAGTAAGAGCTTACATCTACCTAATGCCTTCTTCATGCCCCTCACTGTTCTAACTGCCTCAGACACAGTGACTCACTGAATCTTCATTATAACCCAATGAAAAATCTACTGCAATTACCCAAACAAGCAGCAGAAGAAAGAGGCTAGGGAAGGTCAGCATACAGATGATGGGAGGATCCATCTTAAGTTCTGCAAGGGAGCAGGACAATGAAGAAAAAAGAAATCCTTCTCATTTATTTTTATCATCAAATTCCGTGTGTGTAGATGTATATTCTAAACTCAACTCATTTTCAATAATGTGTTCATTAATGGGTTTGAAATTCTTCAATAATGTGTTCTTTAACGGGGTTGAAACTGTTTTGGTTGAGAGAAGTTTTATAAATCTTGATATTTGATGCATTGATTCTTAATTGATCAAACAACTGATACATTGTTTGATGGGTGCGTTTCCACCACTGTAAACACTGTTCCTGTACTTCACGATGGCGCTGTGCCTATGTCCCACTTTCTGTTGAAGTGGCCACACCTACAGACGTCTACACCAACAAACTCTAATTACCTTCCAACCTGCCATTTTAAGCTTTCCATCTCTCTCTTTTTTTCCCTTCCTCTACCTTGCAGATTTGAACTGAAGATGGAAAAGTACGTTTCCAGCTATTAAGGCAACCCAACTCCTGTTCCCAACCTGCCTGGCCAAATGGATATCTTGAGGAAGGTGTTCCAAGACAGGTGGTGATGTCAGGACCTGGCCCATGGGAGGCTGCCCCAGGCCGCTGAGAGAGTGTGGAAGAACTGGAAAGCCTGGGTGCTGCTGAAGTTAAACTGTCTGGGTGTCTATGAGGGAAGCTGGCGGCTTGTTTCTACTCTTCACAATCCCTTTCTCAGCTTTATGACAAATGTGAATGGAATCCAAACCAAACCACGGAGAAACAGGATAAGAGCTTCCCTCTTCAACTTTTCTTGGTTTATTTAAAGCTCTATTGGGGCAAATGTGATAAAAATTACAAAAGAAAAATATCAAGGATCATTAGTATTTGAAAGCAAATTCTTTCTGAAAATTTATAGGCTCGTACATGAGTGTGATTTGTTAAATGTGTTTTCCGATTTAGCCCGCCTGACTGGTTAAAATTGAGTCCTGTTGAAGTGTCATAGCCATTTCGTTATTTGATAAACTATAGTGCTTCTCTGAAAAAAAGAAAAAAAGAAAAAGAAAAAATAAATACTCCTGGCCATCTATATGTACACACATTGTCAGTGGGAACTTTTTGCTTAATTAAAAAGCACATGTAAATGAAAATGTTTATTTACTTTACACTAATTATTTGGCTTCTCTTTAGTCACAAGTATAACTTAGTTTATGAAATATCAGATTGCTTTTGGTGGGAGGGGGTAGTTTTGCCTGTCCTGAAAAGCAGACCCTGGATTCGGGGGAATTCCTGTCTAATGGGATCAATTTCTTTTAATTTAATCCTGTGACTTGATGTGTGTGTGTGTGTGTGTCTCCTTCCTAGGTCACTCACCGTCCTTCTCCCCCTTGGAGTTATGGAAGTTTGCGTAGAACTCCTGTTTGGCACAACTAAATCGTTTGTTTTAGAATTATTCTGCTTCAGTGGTGAATGTAGTTTGGTTTTTGTCTTTTTAAAAATTTTATACATTCAAGTTTGGTCAGCTGGTTTCTCCAGCACTGTTTGGAAAATCAAGAAAGTTGCTCTGAAAGTTAAGTTTACGCATTGATCTTGGAAATGAGAAGAACTCAGAACTAGAACTCTCAGAGCTAGGCAGAAATGAACAGCAATATCCCTGGGTTCAGTGCACTCACCTGGTGTGCAAGGAAAATGGAAGCTGCAAGATGGTGGAGTGACCTGGCCAAAGCCCACACTGCTGGGTAGTGGGGGAGGTTGCCCCAAACCTATGTTTGCCAGTTCAGTGCACACATATAAAGTGAATATTTTCTAGTTCTAACAAAAGAGAGTACAAAAATTCCTCAAATGCTAATTACAATAAATTTGAATTATAGGTTTTGGGTGACATTCTTAGAAATTTGATGTAGAGACTTCATAGTTACTATATATTAAAATTGATAGAGATTAATACTATACACCTGAGAAGGCTTAGTCATCTACTGGATTACTCATCCTTCAAAATGAAAGGCTGTCATTTCTTAACTCTTTTTTGTAATGGAAGACAAGAATAGAGTGGACTTATGTTATAAAACAGCAGCACCTGTTGATTTCTGTCTTCTTTTCCTAGGTAAGCCATCAGATCTGCCTCATACAGCAGGATTCTCTACTGCGTTTGACCTCTTGCTTCTAGGTGGCAGGATGAGAAAATAATCAAAATGCAAGAAACATGCAAATTTTGTAGTATGTGTGCGAGGTCTATGTATAAAACCACTTATTTGGCACTTGTGATGTTCTAGCCACTCTGCTCGTGCTTTCTATTGTGCTAATTATATTTAATCTTCCAGAAAACCCTATGAGACTGATGCCATCACTTCCATTTTCCAGATTATCTTGAGCCTGGAGAGGTGAAGTAACTGACTTGAAAGCAGAGGAAACAGGCATCTTGTCCAGAATATAGTACTACGTCCTGAGAATCTACGGCTGAATAATTTTCTATGCAATAATTTCAGTTTACCAAAAATGTGCTATTAAAATAGCAGCTAAATCTCAAGATTGTTGGTAGTTAGTTGACTTCACCATCTGACGTTTCATCGTCAGAGGGAGAGGACAAGAAGAAGTTTTCCAGACATTACACCATAAGGGCTTAAAAAAATTACTATTCTTTTATATTTCAACTTTTAAATCATAAAGCTCAATTAATTTCCACTTGGTATGGTAGGGGTTGGCCAGACTGTATTTGTAGTATCTCAACTTTAATATCGTTTGAATACATACGCACTCTACTCATTACCCTTGCTACCCAAGGATCTTCAACTTAGAGGTTTTTCTTTTTTTTTTTTTAACTTGATTTAATAAGGGGCTGTGCTACTTAATAATTCATGAATATATTCTCATGTGAACAATGAATTCTATAAAACCATTAAAAAAACAGTCTAATCTCTTGAATAGTTTCCCCATCCTGTCTGCTATCTCGTTTAAAGTATCACATTTTGTCAAATACTTTCTTCCTAAATTATAAAAGGGAAAACTTGACTTCACTCCGATGGAATTGCCACATTCAGATTGGAACTCAAATGATCAAGGCATTTGTTTACTGAGGTGAGGCAGAGTACTGGGCCTAGATTTTAAGATTTCTAAATCTTCGAACCAGAACTTATATTCATCATGAGAAATCCTACATTTTTAATAAAATCAATTCAAAACACCTGTCATATCTCTTCCTGCGCTACATTCAGGGAGCAGAACAATTAAAGGGTGTGCATGGCCTTAACGGACCAGTATTCTGGTCAGTTCTGAAGGAGCCTGGTCCTTTCAGTTTGGGGCTAAACCAAGGGCCAGGGTGTATTGGATTGGGTTGTGGATTATTCAGGGAATATTTCCAGAAGCCAGCCAGAACCCTCCTCCCCCACCACCCAGGCTGCTTCTTAGACAATATCCTCTCTGTCTTCCCTGTATGCTTTCTGGATCAGCTTAGGGACTACCAAGTAATTTGACTACTAGACTAAGCCAAACATAATTGGGGAAGGGAAGCTGCCAAGAAGGAATCAGATCCACTGCATTCCAAAATCAGGCCTATTCCACAAGCCTGATGGGCCAACCCCTTCGCAGCCCACATGGCTGTAAGACACATGTGCCTGGGTTTCCAATTGGATGCTCCCACCACCCCAATCCAGAGACCGGAATCCACAAGCTCGTCAAATAAGGGAAAGTTGAGATCCGTCATACCTGTTCTCAGATGTGCTTTAGGCGCCGAACCACGCAAAATAGACCAAGGAAAGAAAATGGCTTTGATCCTAAATGTCCTTTGGGGAGGCAGCCTCCTGGTGCCCGTCACATCCCAGATCCATCTGCCCCTGTTTCCCTAAGTAGTGCTAGTACTTGGAAGCCTTTCTTTCTGCTCCTGGCAGCTCTGCTGCAGCCCTGCCCCCAGACACAGCTGAGGTTTGCAAATGAGGAAGGATGTCCCAATCTGAAGGTGTAGCCACTCCTGAAGGGAGCTTGGAGGTTAAAAAAAAAGAAGAAAGAAAGTAAAGAAAAGTAAAGAGCTTTTATGGCCCAGAGGAGAAGCAGTTAGGAAGAGAAAATACTTTTAAGTACTACAAGTGCCTGGAGCCACGAAACCCCATGACTCTGCAAAGCTTTACCTTAGTGCAGACTCTTTCCTGGTAGAAGGAGCAGCAGTTCTGCTTGTCTCCTCTCCTGTCCCTGAGCCAGCAGCAGCAGCAGAAGCAAGGGCAGGGGCTCTCCCTCTCCCGTCCCACTGTTCACAGCCACAGCTCTTTTACTGCAAAACTCACTTGGAGAAAACGCATTGAGATGAGTGTTTAACAGGCATGACCTACTGGCTCCCACCGGAGCAGAGCTGAGGTGGTAACTTCTTGCCCGTAGAATATTCTGTATGAGCCTCTTTGGCAGGAGCTTGCCTAGTTGTCAGGGGCTGGTAGGAAGGTTGGGATGGGGCCCCTGGGTGCGATGCCCTCCTTTCTCTGCAGCTTTGGCCGGAGTGAACGGAAGCTGCGAGAGAGTATGGGGCTTTTCTGAAGGCATCGGCTTGCCCAGTCACTTGACCCACAACACACAGCCCTCAGGGTGACAAAAGGGAAAGGCCAGCGTGGGCCGTGTGCCAGGGCCCTGGAGCCTGGCTGCCGGGCATTCCCCCGGGGAGTGCCCAGTGCAGGGGCAGGGCTGGTGCATGAGTCTCGAATCCTCATTCCTAACAGGGTCCAGATCCTCCTAAAAGAAAGTCTGCGGGTGGCAACTAAAACCCAGGAAAGAAACTCATGGGCCCCCTGGCCTCCTCCCACCCACACCAGCCTTCCCAGGAAGACATTGAAGTCGCCTCTGCCTGCAGCTTGTTGGTTCTTGTCCCCAGGACTCTCACAGCTGTGAGGCTCTGAGGTTGGAGCAGAGGAGCTAAGGCAGAGAGAGAGATGCAAGACAGTTCTTGCCTGGACAGCTCCCCCTTCCAGACCTGCAGCGGGCCCACCCTCCGTGAGGCCCGTCAGCTCCTTTCAAGGTTAAACCATATCCCTTCACCTGTGGTCCCCTCCTCTATCTTCCACCTTCCTCCCCCCAAGTCCCCAGGTCAAATTACTGACACCCAGCATCCAGTGACAATAACAGCCGGTTTTGTTTCCCATGCGTGGGGACGGGTGTGTGTATGCAGGATGCCCTCATAAATGTTTCAGGCATTTTAAACCCCCAGTAACTGGGGTTATAGGTATGCCAGAAGCAATCAGTTATTTCTATTTAAGACATTCAGAGAACATAGCAGAAGTACACTCAACTAATTTTTATTTCACACTTTGTGCTTTAGTAACAATTACTGGAACACCTTAGGCAAATTCCGCTCCAATTTCAAGAAAGTTGTTGAAAACAATGTATTGCATGTATGTAGTTTCTAATAGAAGAGTGAAACAAAACAAAACAAGAACAACAAACAAAGCTGTCAATAGTTGAAGCTTAAAAACCTGCACATAAAGAATTGATTCCCACGTTGAAAACAAACAAGCAGCAGACACACAAATCCTGCTCTTGACTGTAAGTAGCCTCTTGAAGACTCTGGGCTCTCTGCCATCCGTTAACCCTTCCCAGGCTTTGGTGTGCTATCGCACTCTGCCTCTCAGGGCACTGTCCTGGAAGCAGCAAATGACAGTGATATTCTGGACTCCAGGCGCAGCCAAGGAGACCATCGAGGTTCGTGAACCACAGAAGGCATCGGTACCAGAGCCAGAAAAGTTGATGCCCTGACCATGTGTTTCTTTTTTTGGATTAAAAAAAAGTTTATTCTTAAAATTAATTCCGTGTTAAGTAAAGCTGATGTGTTAGACATTAGAAACACATTGAAACTCAGCTTTCATTTTAAAAAGAAATAAATGATGCCCTCTTTCGTGGTGAACATGCACTCATGAAAGATGCTCTGGATTACCCGAGAGACTTCTTCAGTGTGGTCCAGGCAGCAGATCTGATGAAGACCGAGCAAGATCTCGCTCTAAGGCGTGAAGGTGGGTGGCGTTTCCAGAGGAGGATGCCACTGGAGCCTGGTGACTCCAGGGGCAGTCTATTTATATAGTATGTTTAGCATATGGTGATGCTCAGGGGGTCGTCCTGGGCTTAAGAAGGTATTTAGATGGAAGGATTATTTACCTTCAGTGAAATCTAGTACCTGTGGAAAGATCCGCTGCTTACACCATTTCCTATTTTGAAGAAGGAAAAATAGTAGGATTTACAAACGACAGTCGATAGATAGTTGTACTCTTTTTGTTTAGATTTTGGTAATTTCACAAAGGTTTATAGAATACACAGAAAAGTGTTTTAATGATGTTAAAAAGACTACAATTTATATATACCACTATATTAAGAAAACCAAAATGGCCCATAATCCCTCTGCTCTCTTATTATTGTGAAAAATATAGAAAGATATTAAATGAAAAGTAAGTCTTTCTCCTCCCTCTTTTGAATTCTTTTTCCCAAAGGTAATTACTGTTAGTAATTTTTGGGGGCCTAAACTGAAGTATTTACTAGATATATGTGCAATCCAGTGGTGTGTTGGTATGCACTGAACAACAAGCTCTCTGTGCCCACGTGTTTCAAATTCTCAGGTAAATAATGAAAGTGCCATTATTACCCATGGTGGCTGGACCCGTGAGCAAAGGGCAAGCCTGGTCCGGAATTTGCAAAAGCATTCAGTGGGTATAGAAAGAGCACCTGTCTTGAGTGGGAAGCTGGCCTGAGTCCTTCCCATAGCAAACACTGTGACAATAAAGAAATATGAGTAATCACTTTGCTAACAAAAATCAGTAGCCAAGCTCTGAATTTTTAGTCATTTGGTCTCCAAGAACTTAGTCATTTCTGAGTAAATAATAAGCTGTCAATAAATGGTAATTATTAATATTACTTTACTTGGGCTGAAAAGAGAGGTGGTAATATAGCCAATTTTACCTTGAAAATAATTTGTTTCGAACATTTAATATTTAAACTATTATGTCTCTTCTTGGTGGAACATGCACTCCCTGAGGGCTCTGGGGCTTCTGCGTTCTGGGCCTTTCTTAGAACAAGCAGTAGAGGCCCCCACCCTGAGCCCTGCATTTTAGGGGCTCCACTCTGGCCATCTGCCATCTGTACCACCCCATGGGTGATTTATCTATGGGACCAAGGCACCCCCCAGAGCCTGCACCATCCCTCCATTCTGGATGATGCTCTACGAGCCCAGACCCTGAAATTTCAGACCTGCAAAGACTTGTATCTGCTTCTAGGGTGTGTGCATGTCCTCTTCCCTTCCTCCAAGACACTGAGGTTGTACTGCATCGCTGGTTTGTACAACCCTAGGCCCAAGAGGTGGTCCAGGGGCAGCTCTACATGTGTGTGTGATGTGTAGATATGTGAAGCTTAGAGGTGTCTACTGGACTGTTCACGTGGTCTCCCTCCCAGTGCAGGATGAAGCATGGATGGCATGAGAAGTGGAGAGAGCTGTGGACCTCAGGCTACAGGCTGGGGGCTGCAGTCCAGGGACTGGTTCTCCCTTCCCTGCTGAATTCTGGCGTGGAACAACAAGGAATCTGGGAATTCTAAATTCAGACTTGCCTTCTAGGTCATCGTGAAATATATTTTTCAAGGTTGGGGGAGAGAACATATTTTATTCAACAGTCTGGTTGTTATAAGCAGTGGTGTGCTAGTAAACGTTTAACAAGAGGCTCTGTGAAAAAACAACAACAACTGTCCAATTTACAGCTTTTGCCGTTTGCTGTGGTGTGAACGCTCCTGCCGTGGGTAATTTCAAGCTACTAGTGCAACATTAGTGATTGTGAATTTGGGCAGAGATGCATATGCTTGGCTTTCCTGAGCTAACAACAGCTGGATCCAGCACACTGCTGTTTATAATTTTAAATCTTTAGATGTGATATAGGGGCCTCAATTTATACTCTCATTCTTGGCCCCCTCTAATGTTAATGATGCACATAGAAAAGTGCATAGAAAAGTGCTGGTATATAATAGACCCTTAATAATACTTCTTGAATAAAAGGCCCTGTTAGTTGCATGACTTTAGGCAAGCCATTCATCTAGAAATTAATCTGTACTTTATGGAGTTCTTGACCAAATGATACAGCTCATGTGAAAGCTAGAGCACAGTTCTTGGCGTCTTATATACAATCAATAAATGTTGTTGAAAGAATGGATAACAGACAGTCAATAAATTTTAGTATCTTTTTTATTATCATATTTGGGAAAAATTCAAGTTCTTAGTTTAAGCCATTCTTAGGTATTTGTACTTTTCTGCAGTTGTCTCCAGGTCAAGACAAATGCCCATTTCTTTTAACATTTTTCCTGGAGGACCCTTGGTGATAGACATCTCATTTTCATTCAGTTCCCAAGGGAACAGTGCTCACACAATGTTACTCCTTTTAGAAAGTCTGGTAAAATTCCATTTGGCTGCAAATCTGTTATCTGAGCCTAGGAGAGGAAAGGCTGCGTTTCATGCTCCAACTTTGGTTTCAGCTGTATTTTATATCCTGGGAGAGTGGAGACAAAAAGGGCTTTGAATTAATACTTGCTATTTAGCCATTCCATATGTTGCCCTCAGTGAGGAATGCATTGAGTTTTCAAGAAGAACACGTGAGAGATAAGGAAGTATAAAAATTCAGCCATGGCATTCTCCTTCTCATTTGCTTGGCTAATTGAATAAAGCTTAGTGATGAGTGATCATTTCTACTTGAGATAGTTGTCACCCACAAACATATTCCATTGGTTGCTAATTGATACACTTAGTTATTTATAGGCACTGTTTTTTCTCAGTAATTTCTAATAGCAGTTATGTTACTTCTCATGAGGACGTGTTCTTCCTCCCAAAGTATTTCAATGTTGTTACCTTGTGCTCAGTGAGCCATTTTTACCCTCCTCAATATTTTTTCAGCACTTAGATAGAATTTTTTTTTCTTCAAAGTGCTTTAAATAAGTTTTTGTTTTACCTACCAATTCCTATGAAAAAGTTGTGTAGTTGAGATCTGTTTCTATAAACTCAAAGCTCTAGGAAAGAAATCTCTTGTAAAGATAGCAAAGATTTTGCCTGAGAATCTTCCTTTATACTATGAAAAGACAGTTCTTCCTCTAAAAGAGCTCCAAAAGGAGTAACCTGTGATCAGATCACTAAAGTGTTGAAAACTCACCTGAACAGGCTGCTGGGTGAAAACAGCGATTCACCAATCCGGACATAAACTTAATGCCAGAGCTCAGGAAAATCAGCAGTAAATGTGGAAGTAGAACTAGAAGTTTGAAAGAGACTTAGACCTCTTCTGATCCAACCACCGTATTTCATAGATGGTGAGTCTGCAACATTTCCAGACTGAAGGGAACCAAATGTCATCCAAGGACACCCTAGAGATTTTTATTTCTATACTGGTGAGAATGGGTTGGCTTCTGGCGCATAAATAAATGACTGCAGAAGCTCAGTGGCTTAAGACAGCTGAGGGGTATTTCTCACACACATGACTACCCATCGTGTGTGTGCAGTGGGGTCTACTCCATGAGCTCAGGGATCAAGACT